CGCGCGCCCGTTCGCGCGGGCGCCGCGACGTCGCCGCGCCGTGACCGAAGCGCGTCGCGCGGGCGCGCGGCGATGGCGCGGCGACGGCGATGGCGCGCGACGGCGCTTCGGCGTGGTGGCGTGCGCGCTCGTCGTGTGGACGGCGTCGACGTCGCGCGCGCGCGACCGGGACGACGTCGAGGACGTCGAGGACGTCCCCGAGGTGGATGGTGATCCCGTCGAGGGCGCCGCCGCGACCGCGGTCGCGGTGGAGACGATGGCGGTGGTGGAGGCGCGGACGGCGGCGACGTCGGCGCGCGAGGCGTTTCGCGCGCGCCGGCGGCCGCGGAAACCGTCGGCGGAGCGATTGGCCGAGCTCGACGCGAGCGTGGTAGATTTGCGAGCGTTTCGCGCGATGCGTCCGCCAGGGGTGGACGCGCGGGTGTGGATGACGGTTGGGACGATGGAGGTTCGGGACGCGACGCGGAACTGGATGCGCGCGTCGGCGAAAGCGGGCGCGCTCGTCGACGCGGGCGCGCTCGTTGTGACGCTGGACGTGCATTCGGAGAGACCGTTCCTGAAGTGGTGCGAGAACGAAGCGGTCGCGGTGCGAGAGGAGGTTGGGGTGACGGTGACGTGCGTCGAAGGTGGGCGAGTGCTAACGAATCAGACGGATCAGATGAGGCTGGGCATCGATAGCTTTCGAGAGAATCGTGATTCTTTCAACGTGCTCATGCGAGAAAAGGTCAAGTGTTTAAAGGCCATCTTGGAAAATGGCTACGATGTGGTGTTCAGCGACGTGGACGTAGCATGGATGCGCAATCCTTTGGATTATTTCAACTCGGGCCAACTCGCCGACGTGGACGTAGCGGTGAGTTCCGACGCCAGATATCACTTCGACGGTGAGATATTCGCACGAGAGGAAATGCGACGACCGGGCCATGGACTCAGCGTGTGGGCATCCGCTTTAGACGACTGGGAGCGAGAGAGTAGATACGATCAAGATGTGAACGTAGGAATCATGTTTTGGAGGTGCACGAAAAATGCGTTGGAGCTCGCGGGCGATTGGGTTCGAAGAATGGACGAATCGAAAGATATAGATCAGATATGTTTCAACCACCTGATACGGACAAGAGGTGTTGGGAATGTCAGATCTTTCTGCGTCGAGGAAGTATCCGAAGATGCGACGAAGACGTGCCTCTCTTCACTCTCTTTGAATGGCTGGTTAAAAGACGCTTTCGCCAGGAAGAGCGACGAAGAAAAAAAAGCGATAGACTTGGAAGGCGCTTGTCCGCAAGACGCGTGTAAAAGGGGAACGGCGGATTCCGACCTAGGTGGTGAATTTGCAAAGGATTATCTCAAAGGGTATCGCCCGTACTATCACTACGGGGGGCTTTCTGGAAGCGTTCGTGTCGCCGTACTCCCGACGCAACTCTTCGGGAACGGCATCACATACTATAACTTTGGACCTAAATTATCTCCTGACGCGTTCGCGGTTCACAACACGTTCGTATACAGCGGATTCGCTGGTAAGATGTGGAGGTTTCGTGAGCACGGTTTGTATGAGAACGAGAGACAGGAAGACTACCTGACAGATGCGAGTATAGATGCCAAAGTTTTAGTAGTCCGTTGGGACCTGCCAAAGAATATTGTTGCCGATATTCTGAGCGCACGGTCAACGGAACGGTCAGAGGTACCGCATGGACATCTTCGAGCACTCACATGGCAGATGAACCGCGTGCGAGATGCGATTGCCATCGCTCGCGTCACGGGACGCACGCTAATAATACCACAATTTACTTGCGGCTGTTCTCGACACTTTCATTACATGGATAACTGTACGGTTGGCGGTACGCCTTTACCGCTCGCATGTCCGCTTGATCACGTGATGTTACCACACATGTTTGCCAAAAGTAACATTCTGGCTCGAGAGGCGTCGTACTTTCAGAACCGCATCAAAGCCGGGCTTGCGGCGTTCACCGATCCGGCGCCGCGCGTGGCCGTTTGCTCGGAAAACGTCATCGAGAAGACATGTGCGGAGCGCATGCCGAAAGTGAACGGCATCATAACCAACACCGCCGGTTTCGTTCCCACGGATACACCGATAGATTCCTCGCCGGTGAGCCCAGATCGAATCCTTCGTTCGCCGTTCGCCGCCGCTGACGTCCGAAACGCCTTCAGCAGTCTGAGAGACGTTCCTGTTGTCGTCGTCGACGGTCTTGGCGCCGATGGCCAAGTCGTCGATTTCAAAACGTTCGACACCGAGGATGAAAATGAGCGCTTCGATGCCGACATTAGAGGCTCGACGCACGAGGCGTGCTGCTTTGTCAACGGCACGCGCGCGCACTTGCCGGAACGCTTAGCAGCAGCTGCAACGTTGTAGTATATTTCATACGGCACTTCGCGCCGCACTCACGACGTCACTCGTAACGAACATCCAGTGTAGAAGCGCGCGTCGCGTCGTCCGATCGCGCGCTTCATCGAACTTAGCGACAAACTTTTCCAGACGGAGAAAACTTCGCTCTTCGCCAATAATGTCGAGCTCGAGTGCGAACGAAGCGCGCACGCGCGAGCTTGCGGACGCTTTCGGAGCTAAGTTTGACGTGCAGACGATCACAGCGCGTAGCGTTCTGGAGCGACGCAACGAGCGCGATGACGGACGACGGATGGTTTTGGTGGACGTGCGGGCGGAGGACGAGCGCGCGGTGAGCGTGATCGAGGGCGCAATGAGCGTCGAGGAGTACGAGCGCGCGAGGACAACGCTGGGTGCGCACGATTGCGTGTGCTATTGCACGATTGGGTATCGTTCGGGTCAGTACGCGGAGAAGATGTCGAAGGCGAAGAAGGCGGATGAAGACGTCGAATTTCTCAACCTGTACGGTTCCATCGTGGCGTACACGCACGAGGGAGGCGAGCTCGTGGATCCAGCGACAGGCGAGAAGACGAAACGCGTGCACACGTTCGGTAAGGAATGGTCTTGCGTCGCGGATGGGTACGAGGCGGTGTTCTACAAGAGTGCTCTGGTGGGCGGACTTGGTCAAATGTTCAAGGGACTCTTTAAGAGGAAGAAATGATCCCCATCGCTCGCGAAAATGAAATATCTGCAAAGTACAACAGCTGTAAAAATGTGTCTCCACCTAAAGCATCACCGCGAACTCTTTACTTAGAGGAATCACGTCCTGAAAGATGAAGAAGGCGACGGCGTTTACGCACTTGCCGTCATCGCGTTCTTCTGATACGCGTTCCTTAATTGCCCGCACGCGGCCGCAGCCTCGAGACCTCTAGTCTGCCGAATCGATGCCGGGACACGTTCTTGTTCGAGCACGTCTCGGAAAGCGTACACGGTTGCTCTACTCGGACGCTTGAAGTCGGCGTCGTCCACGGGGTTGTACGGGATGAGATTGACGTGTGAAGCCAAATTTCGTGCGTACAACAGTCGTCCGAGCTCCTTCGCGTGCTCAGGCTGGTCGTTCACGCCTCCAAGAAGAGTGTACTCGAACGTCACTCGACGTCCGGTCGCGATGAAGTACTGCTCGCAATCTTGCAGTAAGTCTTCCATTGGGTACACCTTCGCGCTCGGAATGATGGTCTCTCGCAGCTCTTGATTCGGCGCATGCAGACTCACCGCAAGCACGGATTGAAGTTGCGCGTACGCAAGTTTCTCGATCGATCCCCGTACGCCCACGGTGGAGATGGTGATGTGTCTGGCGCCGATACCGATCTCCTTGTTGAGTACCTCGTGCGCCTTCAACACGTTCGGGACATTCAACAGCGGTTCACCCATGCCCATGAACACGACGTTCGTCACGCGCTGCCCGAAGTGCTCTTCTAACGCAAGAACTTGATCCACAATCTCGTGGGGGGCGAGGTTCCGCGCGAACCCACCCTTGCCAGTGGCACAAAACGTGCACCGCATCGGGCATCCCACCTGTGACGACACGCACGCGGTGAGCCTATTCTTCCCACCCTCCGTCGCTGGAATACCCACTGTCTCTACCACGCGATCGTCGTCCAGTCGCAATAATAGCTTCGCCGTCCCATCCGTCGCCGCCGCGACGTGATGCACGCTCGACCGTCCCACGCGCACGCCAGCTGCCACCAGCTCCGCCCGAAGCGCCTTGCTCAGCGTCGTGAATTCATCCACCGAACGCGCGCTCGTCCCGTTCGCCGCGTACAGGTGATCCGCCATCTGCTTCCCTCGAAACTTCGGCATCCCTCGCTCGACAGCCAGCGCCTCCAGCTCCCGCTTGGTCAGACCCAAGAGCGAGACGCCGCCGTCCGCGCTCGCCTTGGCCCGTCGCAGCGTCTCCTCCGCGTCCGCGATCGACTCCGTCACCGCCCGCGCGTCCGCCTTCGCCCACGGTCCATCGCGCACGCCCGCGTTTCGCGGCACCGACGTGGGCGCCAGCGCGTCGTCGGCGTCATCGTCGTCGTCACCGAGTTGGTTTTCGCTCGAGCCGGCGGCGGCGAATCGATGCACCTTCGCCCGCGCGACGCGTCCCCGACGCCGCCCGCGTCTCGGCGTCATCGCGCGCGTCACGTGCGCGCGCGTCGTCGGCGTCGTCGCCCTCGCGTGCGGCATCGCGCGTCGTTCTGTGCGGCGTCGCGTGTTCGGGCGAATGATGACGCGTCACTGCACCACGCGCGTCGGCATCACCGCATGTCGCGCGCGCCCGTCGCTTCGAGCGTCGCGACCGCGAGTGCGACGGCGCGGACGGATGTACGTCGCCGCGACGCGCGCTCGAGGGCGATGCGGTGCGAGGAGACGCGAAACGCCGAACGAGTGCGAATCATGACGTTCAACGTCCTGTGCCCGGCGTACAAACGCTCGGGGGACGACGGACGCGAGAGCGACGACGGGACGCGAGCGATGACGCGCACGATGCGAGCGATCGACCTCGTGACGTCGACGTCGTCGGACGTGATGTGCGCGCAGGAGTTCTGGCACGCGGACGAGGCGACGGCGGCGGCGTGGATGACGGCGCTCGAGCGGGACGGGTACTGGACGCGGGCGACGAAGCGGACGAGCGGACGGTGCGATGGGTTGTTAACGGCGGTTAAGAAGGAGACGTTGGAGGTGTTGGACGCTCGGGACGTGTTGTTTAACGATTGCGGCGATCGCGTGGCGTGCGTGGTGCGCGCGAGGAGAACGAGCGACGGGACGGAACTGATCGTCGTGAACACGCACCTATTGTTTCCGCACAATGAGAATTCAAGTCTGATTCGATTGAGGGAATGCTTTAAGATTTTGGAGTACCTGCGAGGGATGATGCGTGAGCCGGAGCTACGCGGGCGAAAGGTGCCGATCGTCGTCACCGGTGACTTTAACGGTTCGAACAAGGGACGCGTGTACCAATTTTTCAAGAGTCAAGGCTTCGTCAGCGCACTGGATTCGTGCCAGGCCAGAGACGGGTGCGTGACGCCGTGGATCTCGCACTTGAATCATCATGGTGAGTGCGTTGGTGTCGATCACATGTTCTTGCTGAATCCGAGCAGGCAAGTGATAGAACTTGGCGCGTCGTGGAAGGAGGCTGTGTTCGCAATGATGCGGGCAAAAATTGTGGAGAAAGGGCTCGTTGACGACGTGGCTGCGTTCGCGGCAGTGGATGAAAATGACGATGGTTTACTGAGCAAGGATGAATTCTTCGAGTTCGCGAATAGAATCGGACTGTGCGGCGAAAAGTCTCCGGGGCTCTTGCCGGCGGAGCTCGAAGCTTTATATGACGCGTGCGACAAGGATGGGAACGGGATGCTCGACTTTCAAGAGTTCGTGGAGACTATGGACATCGAAGGTATGGCTCAGGCGAGTAGCATGACATCTCTCGATGTTGGTGATTTCATGGCGAGCAGTGCGGCCGGTGTGGTGGTGTTCCCGATGGATAGTTGGGATCAGGATGTTTGGGAAATTGGCGACCTCGCGATAAAGAACGCATTACTTCCGGACGCCATGATCGAAGGGCAGTGGCCGTCGCCGGACGACTTCGACGTGAGCGATCACGGACCCCTCGTCGTCGACTTTGCGCTTCAGTAGAAATCGTACTAACTAGTTAGTAGTAATTCTATGCAGTACAACAGCAGCGGCGCTACGGTAAACTATGCTACTCAAATTCCGCGTCCCGACCAAGTTGCCGGCGCCGGATTGACCCAAGATTCGTCGACGAACGACGCGTCCGCCTTCTCCTTTACGAGCATAGCGTACGACGCCAACTTATCACCAGCCTCACGCGCGACGTACGATAGCCCCTCTGCGGTGACTTTATCGCCCTTTGCGCCGATTCTCAAACCTTCGTCCAACAGTTTCAACGCGTACAGCGTATCGATCGAACTCGGTGCCGAAGGATCGTTCACGCACGAGTACACCAGGCACAGCCTATCGTCCGGGTCGTCGAAATTAGGCCGCAGTGCCCGGCCGATCGGTCCGGACTTCTCCGGGACGAGCGCCCACAGGTCCGCCTTTTCGCGCGCGAACGGGGACCGCTCCGCCCCGGTGTCCTCCCGACTCGTCCGCCTATCGCACCCGCGCGCGGTGACCCAAAATCGTCCCAGCTCCCCCTCGTGCAGCTTGGCGCGCAGTCGGCCGTAGTCTTTCGCGCTCGTTCGCTCCCCGCCCTCGAGTTCGCTCGCCAGGGCGTCGATCTGCGTCGCGCACATCTCCAGTCGGGCGAGGTAGACGTCGAGCGGAAGCAACCCCTCCGCGCGTGCGGGCGACGCATGAGCGGCGAAGACGCACGCGGTGAGTCCAAGGAAGCGCCGTCGATCGAACGTCGAAGCAGGCGGTGGACGACGCGTCGCGGGCGGCGACGCGCGCGCGACGGCGAGCGATACAAGAGTCATGAAGTGCAGCGCGTTGTGACCGCGGCGTCACGACGAGCGAGCCACGCTCGAGCGAAAGCGCGCAAGGCGGCTCGCGCTGTTACTCTGTAGGTCCAATCGACGTTTTCGACGGTTTTGCTCGCGGATGAATCGACGTCGACACCTGGCGTGGTGTTCACGAGAGACGCTGGACGCGTCCATGTCCGAAGTCAGCAACGCGCCGCTCTTGGATTCGATCGGTGACGAACTGTCGTCCTCGGGAGCGATCTCGGATGGTGATTCCTGAATTCTTGCGAAGACGTCGCTCAGAGAGTCATCGATGACAAGGTCGTCGTCGATGAAATCTGACTCGTCGACGGTTTCCAAATCGTACTCGAAGTCAACTCTCCGCGAGGAAGCATCGCGATAGATTCGCACCGCCTTCCTCGCACGTGCACCGCGCCACACGCGTTGAATCGTCAAAACAGACGAATACTGCGTCTCTAGTAGTCTTGCTCGAGAGTACGAGCGCCAAACGCGCTTGATTCGTTCGGCTGCGGCTGTTTGTTTTGCGCGCTCAACGCGCGCAAGGTATCGCGTGACGATCGCCTCCACACGTTTCTGTACCCGTTCGCGTCGCTCTGCGTCTTTTAGAAGTAAACATCGCGTCTTGTATCCGCGCCAGGCGGCTTGAACCTGCTCGCTCGCGCGCCATTGACGCAGTAAATTGCACGTTTGGCGCCATCTGAGCATCGCTCGCTCAGCGCGTGCGAGACGAATCCGAATCTTCACCACCAGCCGTCCAGCGAGCCAGCGTCTGCAGGCGCCCTGCACGAGTGTAACTTTGCGCACGCGCGTGATATGCCATCCTCGAATAGCTCGCGCGATCTTACGTCCCGCATCTCTCCGCTCGCGCGCCGTACTCACCTCTCGCCGGCGTGCCACCTGTCTCTCGATGCGTTGTCGGCGTCGCACCATCGTCTCTTCCACCGCTCTACCGAGCAACGCTCGTAACGAAGCGCCTTCGTCGTCGTCGCTCTCTTCGTCGACGACGCTTTCGATGTCCCTGTCGCGCCACGCGGGGCGGCGTTTCGCCGGCGTTTCTGAGCGCGAGAGAGTCACGGGACGCCGCGCGATCAGTGCGCGTACCATGAGTACATCCTCGGATGCGATCGTCGACGATGACGCATCACTCGACGCTTCGCTCTCCACGTCGGATTCCTCGCTCGGAAGCGTCGCCGCCGCGCGCGTCTCTCGAAGCTCTCCCTCGAAGGCTTCGAGCGCGACGGTTCGTCTTCTCCAGTGCTCGAGCAAGTCCTCCATGAGTTTATCGGGATCGGCGGCTACTTCGACGCGCGCGCACATGTTCGCGGTCATTCGCGTTCGCCGCACGCGGTGCTCGCGTGCGGACCGGCGAGCGCGATGTGCAGTGCGAGTTTGACCGCGCGCGCACCTATGAGCTTTTTTTCTTGGACCTCACTGTAACTTGAAGAGCTGTCGATAGTTTTACAAATGCCGTGAAACGACGTATACTGCGTCTAGTTGGTCTCGATGTCGACGTAGTGAATCGAAGGTTCGATCTCAACAATTTCCTTCTCGAGGCGATCGACTTCGTCTCCAACAGCTTGCACGATGTCCTCTCCGTACTGCACGAGCGCAGCGTCCAGAGCCTTCGGGTCGTTTGCAGCACTAAATTTCGAGTGCAAAGCCATTCTGCGTTGATGTTTGGCCAGATAGCGCTCGACAATTTTCTTGCCGCTAAACTCCACCTCGACAGCAAACCGGTACGCACCTGCGCCCAACTCCTCGCTCTTCGCAAAGTATACCTCTTCGACGACCGGATCACGTCGCATGTGCGCCGTAATGACATCCATCTTATCCTCGCCGAGAGACCGCCCGAGCAAGAGCAACCGATTACTGTTGATGAGATACAGCGCTGTTGCTCCGAGCAATCCACCGACCGCGATGGAACCCATGGAGTCGTACATCGGATTTCCGGTCGCGTAACATGCTAAAAGCGCGGTAGTGGCGATGCCGCAACCGAGCACAGCGGCGGTATCCTCCGCGAACACGGCCAAACTAGTGGGATCTTTACCAGATTTGATGAACTCGGTGAGCGTCATGTCTTGCGCCCTGGCATTGTCTCGCAGCGCTTCGTATGCCACCTTCAACGAGTATCCTTCTAACGCCGCAGAGGCGCTTAGAACTGATATCGCGACCCATAGATTTTCCGTCGGCATCGGATCCATCAGGCCGTGGACGCCGTGCATGACGCTGAACCCCGCCCCCAGGAAGAAAATCCCAACCGCAGAAATCAACGAGTACACAAATCGCTCCCGTCGATACCCGTAATTAAACTTCGCGTCCGGTTTTTTATTGCTATTCGTGATCCCAACCTGCAGTAAAACCTGGTTCACGATATCAGCCACGCTGTGAATGCTCTCCGCGAGCATCGACGGCGATCCGCTCACGCCGTACGCGCCCATTTTGCACACCAAAATAGCGGCGTTACACCCAATCGCTGTGTGCACAGCCTTCAACGCTCTTCCGTCGTTCGCCGAGTCCAGCGCCTCCGCCTTCGCTCCTCTTGGCACCGTCTCATCGTACTCCGACGCCGATGTAGACGTGTCGCTCGCGTGTGCGCCGTCACTCGTCGACCCGCTTCTTTCGTGGCCCGCCGCGGCCTCTGCGTGCGCGCTCATCCGCATCCCTCGCACCCCGTATATCGTCGCTCGAGCACCACCATCACGCTTGGACGACTCCTCCGCATCCCTGGGTGTCCACGACACCGCAAACGGGCTCGAAAGCGTCGTGAAAGACGCCGAGAAGGACGATTTATCATCGAACACGGTCGAACGGTCGCGGTCGTTCAACCTTCGCGCGCTCACGAGCGCGCTCGTCAACGCGCGCGCGCCTCCGTGGCGCGGAGCGTTGCTCAGGGCGACGCCCGCGAGCGCGGTGACGCGGCGGATGACGCGGGACATCGATCTCGGACGCGTCCGAGAGACGAGAAGTGCGGATGCCAGAGGGGTTGTTACCTCTAGAACTGGACAGCCGCGACGCGAGGCGGATTTGTGAGTTTGACCGCACAGGGCGCCGATGAGTGAAGATGGAACCTCTAGCGGTGATCGTGCGAATTCAAACGACGCGAACGCGATCGATGCGGACGGCGACGTGTGCGTCGAAGCGATGGAGACCATGGAATTTTTCATGGGTGACGCGTCGCCGGCGAGCGGGACGTTGACTGGGCTTGTCGACAGAGCGAGCGCGACGTTGACGACGTTAAGGGTCGTTCGGTGTCGTGCTGTGAAGAACATGCGTGGTTTGGAGGTGTGCAAGCGCTTGAGATCATTGACGGTGGCGGAGTGCGCGTTGACGTCATTGGCGGGGGCGAGCTCGTGTCGAGCGCTGGAGGAACTGTACGTGTATGGTAATCACATCGATTCCCTCGAAGAGCTTCAGAACGGATGTTTCGAGCGACTTCGGACGCTATGGCTGAACGATAATCGTTTACGAGCGCTAGATGGCGTCGAGTTCCTCCGAAGCCTCCAACATTTGAACGTCGCGCAAAATCTACTTGAGCGGGTGCCAGACGGCACAACGACAAGCGCGCTAGAGCACCTGAACATTGCGGGAAATCCTATTCGTTCGCTTTCGGACATCGCGATCGCGACTCGCGTGCCGTCATTGACGATTTGCGATGACTTACACGGCGCTTGCTCTTTCTGTCGGGGTGATTGGTACCGATCGTACGTGTTGTGCGCGTTACCACATTTATGCGTGCTGGATGGGCGTGACGTATCTGTACTTGAGCGCCAGCAAGCGGAAGAGGAACACTCGGGGCGGCGTACATGGTTCAACTTGCAGTGTGTACGATTACGAGAGGCGTATCGCCGCGCGAGGGACGATGCTTTGGAACATTTGAGTTCAATAACGAATCCCATCGAGCACGAGTTATTCAACGCCAGAGCGCACGGTAGTCGGAGCGAAGCAGACCGTGCTCTCGTAAAACTCAATGAACGCGAGCAGGGATTCTTCACACACGAGGATCGCGCACGAGAATCACTGGAGCGCACCATAGCGCAAGTTTTTCGCGATGCAGAGATTTTGGCGGAGACTGTGAGAGAAGAACGATTCCGATTCACAGAAGCGGCGGACATCACTTTCAGTGACGTCTACGAAAACTTCAAGGAACGATGGCCGTCCACGGTATTTCGTGCTGAAAGACTCCTGCAATCATTTCACGATTTGAGCAATGTCGTGATCGCTTCTAACGTGGTCGAGCTTAATTTGCACGCGACTGGATTGGTTGAAATTCCACACAAACTGAATGAGTGCTCGAGACTCGAAACGTTGGTGCTCAGTAATAACTCCATCAAGCGTCTTAACAACTTGCCGCGTAGTGAAACTCTGCGCCATCTGGACTTCGGAAATAACAAATTATGGAATTCAGCGGACATCAATGTGTTGACAGCGTGCGTGATGAACGCATCCTCCATCGTGTTACGCGGAAACTGCAAGTGGCTGGCTGAAACGAAATTTTATGCACCCATACTCGTGAAGTCCATGCCCCGTTTACTCGTACTGGACGGCGTCGAGATAACGACGGATGTTCGTGCAAAGCATATGAAAACAGAGTGCACGTTAGATGCGAGCGCAGTGAGGAGGCGAGGAAGATCACACGTTGTCGCATCAAAGGGGCGTTCGATGCGGATCGAGGAGTTCTCTTTGGAATGCGAATCCTTGCGAAGGACTAAAATGTGCGAGAAGTTCGAGACGGTGCGTGTCGCACACGTCGCGCACAACTGTTTGCGCTCGATAAAGGGGTTCGGAGTATGTCGTCAGCTGCGACATTTGTGTATCGAAGGGAATAAATTAGTACGACTCGACGGATTGAGTTTGCTGCGGGAACTGCGATACTTGAACATCAAGAACTGTGGCGTGAAAAAGCTTAACCCGGCGTGGTTTATATCTCTTAGCGAGCTCAGATGCGTCAATGTCGAAGAGAACGCGCTGAAAACGATCTCAGTGCTGAAGCAGTGCTCTGAACTCTGTGAGATTTATGCGGCGCGCAACAAGTTGACAGATGTGCATGGAGTGCTTTCGCTCGCGAGCTTGCAGCATCTTAGGTTGCTTTCATTGCAAGGAAACGCCGTGAGCACATCGAAGGGCTACCCTCATCACGTGATCTTCAAGTTTCCACAAATCAACATCTTGGATACAGATTACATCAATTCAGAGTTGCGTTCGGAGGCGGTGAAGATGTACACCGGTCGATTGACGGAAGACATGATTCCAACAGGGCAAAGTGCCTGTGCGCACAAAGTTAATTTATCCGGGCTGAATCTGCTCCACCTAGACGGCGCTATCGCCAAGGCGCACTTTCAAGGAATGAAACAAATCAAGCTGGATAACAATAGTTTGCACGATGTCTCCGCTCTTGGCAACTTACCATGTCTCACAAAACTTGAGCTACGAAACAACAGAATCAACACAGTGTTTGGTCGATTCGGATTCTTTGCGAAACTTGAATTTCTAGATCTGAGTGGCAACTACATCTCCTCCTTGAGCGTACTATCGCTCGGCTGTTGCTCGAACCTTCGCACTCTGTTGCTATGTGATAATTTTCTGACTAGGCTAGATGGCATCACCCAGCTCAAGTCGTTGCGCGTGCTGAAAGCGGATAAAAATAAACTGAACAGGATCGACTCCAGTACGTTCGTTGGTTGCGACGCGCTCCGACTACTTTCACTTCGAAAAAATGCATTTCGAACTCTGAAACATTTATCGAAGTTGGTCTCTGTGCGAGAGTTACGACTGGACGGTAATAGGGTCGACGACATTGAAGAAATTAGCTGGCTCGCATGGCTCCCGCGCCTGAGAATTTTATCACTCGGCGGCAACAAAATCGCTTCGGAATGTGATCGATACGTCGAATTTACGATTATGTGTTGTCGTGGATTGAAACGACTGGACGGGGAGAGTGTCCTAAAATCATAAATAGTTATCACAAACTGTCTTCGTCATCGTCCTCGATGAGTGAGTTACCTAGAGCGGCGTACTCTTCAACTGTGCGCGCAAGATCCCGTTGCATGACAGCTATCGCTTCCTCCGTACCCGCTAGAGATTCACGAAGTTGTGAGTTCTCAAACTCAAGCTCTGCATTCATCACTTCGAGCTCCTGCATGCGATTGGCATTGCCGCCAGTTCCACTCTCCATTTGCTGCATGTGTCGGGCAAGCTGTTCGAAATCCTGCTCTACACGTCTCCTTGCCTCCTCTGCAGTGCGAACTCGCTCATCCACGAGAAGTGCTGTCGCCCCTTCCGCGTACCCTTGCTCGTCGATGATTTTCCTCGCCGATGCCAAATCGTCGTTTGCCTTCGACAGCAGATGAAGCAACCGTTCGTTCTCTTCACGAAGAACTCGAGACTCTTCAGCAAATGTCTGAGACACCGGATTCTCACGTTGCATGCTTGCAAGAGATGCCTCAGCCGCTGCCGCTCGGCGTTCTGCGTCTTGAGCGCGCACCTTCAACGCCCTCGTCTCTAAATTTGTCGCGTCACCCTCCATGGCCTCACTCAAAGCGTCTCTGGATATAGCGAGTTCTCTGCGCACGCCGTCCAGTTCAGCCCGTGCCTCCGCTTCGCGACGAGCATGTATCAAAGCTTCGCGTTTGGAGTTTGACGCGGCCGTCTCTGTCTCGAGTAACGCAGCTTCAAGCGTCCCACATCTATGTTGGAGCTCTTTAAGTGACATAGAGAGTCTTTCAACTTCTCTGCCTTGTTCGTTCGCAGCCTCTTCGGCTCGAACCAACGCAGCCGTTTGACTCGTAGAAGTCTTGCTCGGCGTACCAGAGCTCGCGGCGTTCTCGATGACGCCGCGAAGGCGCTCAACCTCTGTGACGAACGATTTGCGATCTTCTTTCAGTGCTTCAACTTGACGCATCAACCCGTGATTCTGTTCTTGTAGAGCGCTCACGCGCTCTCTCAAGAGCTCCGAGCGCTGAGAACTGTCGCCGCTCGCGACGACTGCCTGGTGTTCGTGCGTACGCAGAGCCGACACCAAACTCTCGAGCTCTTTGACGCGATTGGACTCCAGTCGCAGTTTATGCTTGAGCGTTTCGGTGTCACTCTGGGCGTCGGTGAGCCTGCTGCGAACAACCATCAAGTTTGCCTCAGCCGCTGCAGTCTCGCGTCTAGCCATCTCCTTTGCGCGTTCCATGTCGAACAACATCGCTCTCGATGCTTCGAGTTTGGTGGCGAGCGCCTCCATGTCTTCGCCCTTGTCGCGCGCTGAGTTCTCAAGGATGTGAGTCAAATTGTCCACTTGGCGCTGGTAAGCTTGTAAATCGGTGGAGTAAGCTTTGCACTCAGCCTCCGCCGTTTTGGCTCGTTCGGTTGCCTGCTCGAGCAACGCATCGGACGACTCAAGGGCTGCTTTCACTCGGCGAAGGTCACGCTCCATATCGTCCATATCCGCGACGACGCGTCGATTCTCGAAGCCGAGCTCGTGATACGCCTTAGCGACATCATCAACTTCTTTGTTCTTGGCTTTTACTTCGGCTTCTGCCGCACTCTGGGCAGCTTTCGCTTTGCTCAACTCTACTAACGCTTCGTCACGCTCGCTCTTCGCGCGAAGCAGCTCGGCGTTCAATATCTGTTGTTCCTTCGTCATCACCATCAAATCATCAGAAATGACGGCGAGTTCTTCACGATACTGGGCGGCTTCATTCGCGATGACTCGCTCCTTCTCAGCAGCGCGCTCAAGCTGCTCCTCGAGCGAACGCGCGCGAGCAATTGCCGAATCGCGAGCCTGTGCCGCTCCGTATACTTTCGCCTCCGCTGCGGCGCCCAGTCGTCGTGCTTCCTCTGCAGATGCCCCTTCGCGCATCGCTCTTCCTCTCGCTTCTTCAAGTGCTTCCGCGGCCGCATCGGCTTCATCCTGCAGACGCATGCACTCATTTTCAAGGGAGATTATCTTGTCAGCCGACGTTCCTTCGAAGATATTGCTGCTATCTTTCTTGCTCTCGATCTCACGCAAGCTCGCGTAGGCCACACGAAGTTTCTGCGAAAGCGCCTCGCGCTGTTCGTCCATATCTCTGATGATGGACTTCAGCTTCTCGACTTCATCTGCTCTGCGCGTCGCCAACTCGCGTTGGGTTTCGAGCTCCTGCACCAGGCTCTCATCTCCGGAACTACGGTTATAAGCTTCGAAGATTGCTCTTTCAGCTTCCGCGGCGACCTCGTTTGCCGCATCGGCCGCATTGCGAGCCGCTCGCTGCGCCATTTCGGCGCCCAACTTCCCTTCCTCGTAACGTCTCAACTTCACGATGAGAGCTTCGTTATCATCAGAGAGCAAGCTCATCGCATTTTGAGCCTCGGCGAGCAGACTTTCGAGCTCTCGCACGCGCGAAGAGTCATCATTACCTCTCGAACCGCGTCGAAGTCGCTCGATCTCATCGTTCGCGTCGTCGCGCTCCGCTCGAAACGCCTCTGCGTCTGCGAGTGCTGCAATTTTAGCGTCCTGAGCGGCCCTGAGCTGCTTTTTCAACTTATCAACGTCACCGGACGGCACGCCTCCACTTTCCTCGGCCGACATGGCGCCGAACTGACCCTTGAGCTCGCGGAGCTCTCTGTGTAGCGCGATCACCTCATCTGGTTTCGTCGCCTCGGGCGTGGACGGCACAGCCACCGTCGGCGTCTCCATTACACTCGAGTACCTCGTTGCCATCTGGTCCAGCTTATTGAACAACGCCGCGATGAGTTTCACCTTTTCATCGTCGCCGCCGTTCGTCGCCGCTCGCGTGAGCTCTCTTAATTTCGCCGTCTCCGTTTCGTTCGCCGCCAACATCTTCCTCGTCGCGGCCAACGCCGAGCTCAACACCTCGTTCTCTGCATCCTTCTCTCGTAACGCCGACAATGCGTCATCCAGCAGCACCGCCGCGTCTTCTCCCACGCTTCCTCTTCGCGCGCGCGCGTGCGGTGCGCTCGACATTACGTCGTCGTTCGATCTTCGTCGTCGGAATGAAAAATCAAAATTTGAAATTAATCCGAACGTAAACGACCCGCCGCGTCGCCAGCACGCGTCGCCTGCAGCGTGCGCACGCTGCAAACGCGCGTTCGATGATCACGGTCGTTTCGCTTCGGGCGCGATCGATGCGCGAGCGTGCGCGTCGGTGTGAGCGGCCGGTCAATGTCCGTGTGAGCTGATTTTGGAACATTCGGATTTCAACAGTCAAGGTCCCAATGCGTGACCTCTCCGGGTCGGGACGCACGCGTCGCGCATCGCGCGGCGTCGAGCGCTTTGAGCCTGGAGCGCTCGATGCGAAGACGCCTGCGAACGATAAATCCGCGAACGTGCGCCTGTGTGACGACGGCGGCGGCCCAGTGATCGATGTCTCGAAGACGACGGCGCCTGGTGAGGCGGGCCTCAAGCGCGAGCGCCGAGGCGCCGAGTTTGGTGGCGAGGAGGGATTCGAGGAGTTGGGTGAAGGGAACGCCGCGACCGGGCTCGCGGACGACGATTGCTTCGTAGGCAATGCGTCGACGCCAAAGTGAGGCGGCGTGCATGGCCTGGTCACGGAAGATTTTGGATTTATTCGCGAGCTTGCCAGTGACATCGACGGCGAGCGGCGTGCCCAGATCGCGGAGGAACTCGCCGAGTCTATGGACGCCGATGAAACCGGTGGCGTTGGGGTCGTGAAGACTCCACGCCTCTTGAAAATCGTACAGATGCTTTGGTGTGACGACGGCAGACTCGCGTAAAACACCAAAGGTGACGTGATCGAGAATTGATGCCACGAAGAGGTTGGTGAAGACGTAGCCCATGGCGATGACATAAGTGACAAAGTACAGGACCGCTCCATCTGGGAACCCGCAATCAGACGGACCCGCGACGTCGACGCAATATGGTTCATTAACCATGAGGTCGTACATATATTGACGCCACCCCTCACCCGTGACGACTTGAAACAGCAACAGGAAAGAGCTCGTGAAGGATTGGAAATTCGCATCCTTATTCAACGCGACACCGTACTTGACATTCGAGAAAACTTGCGTGCCGATGCCAGCGTACATGAACATCCATATTAACATCAGCCCCATTACACTTAAAATACTTGGCACCGCGAGAACAAGCGTGTTCGCAAGGATCTGCAAAGATTGTACGTGGCGGATGACTCGAAAAACGCGGAGAAACCGAAAAGGCCGCCCGATCTGATCCCGCACTGACCCACTCTTGCTGCGAAGCGTCGCCGCTGACCCGGCGGCAAGAAAAAGCTCGAACGCGTTCCACTTGTTCGAAAAGTAGTAGTTCACTCGGGGGTACGCAGCTGCGACTTGTAACAGCACCTCGACTGAGTAAATGCTAACGAAGCACATTTCGCTCATCGCGCGTACGCGCGCCAAAAGTGTACCATTGTCACCGTATCGTTCAGTCGCCATCAAAGCGGCGTTTAAGCTCACGCTGAGTAGCACGAACGATCTGTACTTTTCGTGATTGACGATAGCAAAACAGTATCTGCGAATGCCCCTGGGTGGTTTGACTTTCGCCCGAATCGGCTTGAGCGATACCGCCACCTTGTGCATGTCATGCCACAGCTTCTGCCGTTCAGTGAGGAGTTTGCGACCGGATATCATGCCGAAATGATGAATGAAAACACCGATGATGGTGCGAATCATCAGAAATGATCCCAACAGGATGAATGCGACGAAGTAAAAGGAGGCACTCCAGTTGCGCTCAAATTGAGGTTGCAAGTCGACACCGGTTTTGTCCATTGCTGCAAACATAACCTCTGTCCATCCATCGAGAGATGCGGTCTCCAGCAGTGTTAGCATGGCGCTCCCGATCCAATCGAACTCGAAGAGGTTTCTGTACCACTTGCGTACAACAATGTCCCCCCCTCCGATGTCCACAAACGTGCCCACACATTGAAGCTTACTACTCACGGTCGCATCATTGCAGCTGTAGAACGTTCCTCCATATTCGCGAATACCAATGACGGCGAACGCAAGGAACATGCCACCTGTGAGCATGATGATAGAACCTATGGTGGGTAACGTGACTGCCAGCGATTTGACAAGCCGTTGCATGGATTTGACGCGCGTCATAATTCGCACAGGCCGGACTGGCGCGGCCATGTTGAACGCGCGGCGCCAATACCGTGTGTACGATGCTCCTAAAATAATTGGACACCCGACTATCATTACGTCGATCACCAAAATACCGAGATCAAGCAGATTCCAAATCCGCCCGAGGAACGGCGACGGAGTCAACATGAAACCGTGCGCGGTGACATTTAACGCAAAATCAAATAAGAAAAATCCACAAACTGCGAAATTCACAGCGTCTACCTGCATCTGAAGTCGATTTTCTTGATCGACAGGCTTGGTTGCCAAGACCGCGATAATGGACATCATCACGACGATGAAACTGACTCGCTCGTAAATATTTGAATGCAGCATGCGCTTAATTCGCTTCCTCACCTCTCCGGAGGATGGGAAAATCCACAATGATTTATCGGTTATATACCAAGGGAGAACGGCGCTCGATGCTAAATCACTCGCGTCCGATGCGGCGTCGTCGAAGATGAGCTTGACTTTCCTAACATCGTCAGAATCCGCGCCGTGAACCATTCCACTCGGCGCTTTCGGCGCCGATGGTAATATCATTTCCACCCGTGCTCCGATCTCAGGGTCGTGAGCACGCACAGACTTTGAGCACACTAAGAAGTCCTCTGTTGATGACACCTCCGCCGGCGCCATGTCTACGCGCGCATCTATCGCCGGTGTCTTCATATGCACGAACGTTGATTCGCACATTACGAGCGTAGTGTTCTCACCCGTTCCCTCTTTCGATCGCACCAAGAGCGATTCTGCGATTTCTTCCTCTACAGCTTTTGCTATACCGCTTTCTACCTCCCAACGACTCGCGAGCCAAGGTGATAATCGATGGACACGTTCCGTAGTCCATCGCCGACCTCTAAGCGTCAAAATCGATTTGACCCGCGCTCGCTCCATCAAGTCAACGAATCGACGGTTTCGCATCGTGCTCTTCACTGTGCGCTTCACCAGCTCCCGAGACTGGACGATGGTCTTCTCGACGTCCCTTAGCTCTAAATTTTCGAGCACGACCGCGATAACCAAATTCAGAATGATATAGTTGACCAAAATGAAGAACGAAATGTAAAACGGGATCGCCGCCTCTGTGATTTGCACTCCATGATACATCAGTTCTGTCCATCCTTCTCCCGTACTCGTGACGAACACTGCTAACATAGCTTGTGGGAAAGTATCATAATTAAGCCGCGGCGCATCGTCGCCCGACACACCACGGTTGGCAAACAACTGCATGCCCAATACGGCGTACATCGCCAAGACGGCGACATAAAACAAAAATAGAGAGAACAAAGATCCGAGAGAGCGGAAGACGCGGTGTATCGTGTCGGCCCCAGACCGAGGCTTTGCCGCACCAAAGGTTTTGAAAAGTCTCGGAATCCTCAAGGAGGTTAGGTTCATTCCCTTACCCCAGATGACCATTGCACTCACGCCGACGACGACGGCGTCGAAGATCAGCATGGCGTCCTCGTTACTGAGCTTGAAAGTAGCGATGCGGCGTGCGATATGCTTTGCCGCGAATCCTCGTAGAATGATTTCGAGCATGAACGCCGATAAGAAGAACCCCTCGATAAAGGCGATGTATTGCTTGTACGCGATGCTCAGATCAAAGCGATACATCGCCATCACAGAGATGTTTGCTGCGATGCAGAATTTTATCAACCTATCGAACTGTGCGTTGTTGATAAACGCGGACAATCGATCGCGCTTGGGTTGAGCGACACCACTCGGTATGGCCGTCGTCTCTTCGCACGCGTCCTCTTCCAGCAATCTTTTCCTAAGCATCGCCGCCTCGGCGACTGAATTGAATGACTCGCCCGTGCCTCCGTTCAATCGTCTAATCAGTTTCCGAACCGCGATTTCGCTCTCCAAGTCTTCAGAGTCGCCATTATTGCGAGCACTCGATGCGCTTCGTAACATCAGCTGGTGCTCCTTGCGAAGGCGCAGGAACACTCCACTGACGCCTGCCACGAACACGGAGACGATGAAATACGTGCCGATGATGATGAGAGTCACAAAGTACGCAGCGGACGCTTTATACTCTGCGTTCACGATCGGAAACATCACTTCTTGCCAAGCCTCGATAGTAATCGTCTGAAACATCACGAGAAGCGTCGACCCGAAACTATCGAACGACTGATATCCGTGTTGCGGGTTGCCCACCATATCGCTGCAGAAGAGAGACGAGTTGGAATCGTAAACGCCCGGACACACGTAGCCCTTGTGATTCAGCACGTTGCTGACGTCGCCACAAAAGAGCTCTGGATCGCTCACGGCGGTATAAAACAGCTCGACCGTGCTCGAGTTCGCAGTTTCGACGCATCGTCGACGAAGTGACCCTCCGAATATTCCCATGCCCATGAGCGCGTAAAACACTGCGCACACGACCGTGATGCCGGCGACGTCCCGCAACAGCGAGATTGACTTTTGCAACGACTCAGCGATGAAAACGACGGAAGTCGCAAGCTTGAATCGCTTCAGTGCGTGCACCCCGCGAAATAATCGAAGCTGCCCAAATCGTACGCGCGTCATGAGCGAATCGCTGCCTCGGAACTGCAGCGCCGTCGACATCCAGCTCGCGACGACGATGACGAGATCGACCTGGTTGTACACACTCGCCATATATGCATGTTTGTGTCCGATGAATCCTAGGGCGAATATCCTCGCCGCCGCCTCGACGGTGTACGCGCACGTGACGGCAACGTCCAACGCGCGCAGCGGCGACCGCGTCAATTCAGCGACGCTCGATATCACGCGCGACGACTCCCCGCTCGACGCCAGGAGCACGAGCGCGGCAAAATGCGTGATAATCAGCGCGAGAATCACGTACTCCATCGTCTGCGAGTGCACGACGCGAAAAACAACCGCGCGCGCTCGACTCCTCGGCCCAAACGCCCACAGCGACGTTCCCGCCATCGTCGCCCCCGGTCCAGCGTCCGAGCGCACTCGCGCCGTCTCCTCCTCCGGTTCCCGCGCCAACGCGCGCCGCCGCCGCTCGAAACCGCAACCGCCCCGCGTCGCGCGCCGCCACCACCGTCCGCGCCGTCGCCCGCGTCTAAAAATACATCACCCGTCATTCGTCCCGTCATGCGTCCACGTCCCGCGCCGTCTCTCCCCGCGCCGTTCGCGCCGTCGCTCCCCGCGCGTCCGCGCGTCGTCGTCGCCGTCGTCGTCGCCTTTCCGGACGATGCGCGGAGCCGCGCGCGCGTCGCCCGGTGCCGGAATACGAACCGTCGCGCGCGACCGCGCCACAAAACACCCGCGTGTGCGATCCACAAAACACGGTGTTTTAAACACCCGCGTG